CCAGCACCATCACGTAACTCCCGGCGTTGGCGACGTTCCACTTCTCATTTTAGTTCCCGGGTCTGGAACGCTACACAAGTATGTTTCTGAAAATGGCAAAGCTGCTTTCCGAGCGTAACAGTGGCAGTGTCGAGGAGGTCAAGGGTCTTGTCAGTGTGCATGCGCAGTTTTGCGAGGGTGTGCCAGTGTGCACAGGTACCAATCAGAGCCAAAACATTTGTATTGTGCAGCTCTGGAAGGAGGGCGTCAAATATGGGGATGGCGCACTGATTAGATAGCCTGAGGTATGAGTAATATAAAGTGGTAAAGACAATATAGAACCTGACCTGAAGAAGGTCCTCGAAGTCTCGAGCAGCCATCTTCTTCATTTCGGAAGCGTTCGAAGCAAATTTTCGGACAGTGTCATGACCAAAGGTAGGAGTGAGTCGGTAGCTTGTGTTCTCCATCAGTTAAACAACCTATGTTGAGTCTATTTAACAAACATACCAATGATCGAGTTCATGCAACAATTCATCACCTGGGCGAGCAGAACTGAGAATACATAGTAGGTGGACAAACAGCGCTTTCCAGACACCAAGTTCGAACTCATGCATGAGGTCTACGACCAACATGACGAATAGATTGAAGCCGAGGGATCCGAGGTTCTCTGAAAATGCATTCTGAAAGATCATAGTCAATACTCATACAAATTTAGTGACGATGAAACAAACATACAATGGTTGGCACCAATGAGTGCTCTTTCAGTAGGTTTTCAACAGCAGTACTTCAAACACCATAACCAAGATCATAAACATGTGAACACGTGACTGTGACTTTACTTTGCCGGGCATTGTTGTCTATGTGTGCAAGGGTCTGGTGTTGCTTCATGTCGAGGGGCAAGCCCAGATTCTGGATGCGGGATTTCGGGATAAGGCACTGAGGGCATGGACACCCACCAAGATTCCATATCGTAGCCAGCAAAGCCCTGACAATAGGATAGACAACAATATAATTGACCTTCTAGGCATGAAATTCGACTCACTTTTCTGGATAATCAGCAGAATACGTGAATATCTGAGGGTAAAATCGGCGCTCAATACCATCACAACAGCGTATCACGATCCCATGTCTGCAGGCTTCTATAAACTCATCGTCGAGTAGAATCTTCCACTGCGCGTGATAAAGTTCCCTATGGCAATGTGCAAGAAAGTCAGCACTGGGACCTTTCCCACCGAAGTGCTTCGTAGCAAAATCCTTGAAACTATCAGGAAGCTTAAAGACAATGAATGCGTGAGTATGAAAAAATCAGAACTAGGCACGTACATGGTTGAAGTAGGCGACATGACTACATAGATGGCAAGAAGGCTTGCACCGTCTATATTTGGATTTATTTCCGAAAAACATGTAGCAAGGCCAGAGTTTGGAATTACCAAAGGAAGTCAGATGGGTCGTGTCTGACCAAAACATAAGAGCAACAACGACGTGTTCTAGATCACACCCAGGCTCCGCTGGAGACTCTTGGACTTCACGGTGTGCTCGAATGAAAGCCTCGGAGTTGTACAGCTCACCATGAACACGAATGGATCTTTCAGACTCTCCGCGATTCCAGAGTAGTTCATAGGGCTGATAATGGAATAGTTCATCGTGCTTTTTGTTTGCAAGCTTTTCCTGGATAACAGATACGAGCGGTCGATGATATAAATCAGTGGTGAGATAGTCGTGGATACCTGGGTTTTCTGCGCGTTTGTGAATGGGTACCTTGATGTTGATTGCGGTCTTCTTCCACCCAGCACCTTTGAAGGTCACATTATCGTGCGCCTCTGCATCGTCCGCGCTAGATCCAAGTTGATTGTTGATTAAATTCCAGCGCGTAGCATGGATGTCTTCAGATTGAAACTCGCTGTCACTGATTATCCGTAATAGTTCCTTGAAACTCTTGTGTGACTTCTGGATACCCCCATTCCAAAACCAATCGCCAAGGAGAAACAATGATTTGTTTGGATATGGATGAAAAGCATCTGGGGCTTCTATGCTGCTATTATGTATTACAGGAGTAGGCATGCTGAAATCTTGGTCTGACTCGGAATGCGTCAGAGTGAGGTTTTCTAGAGTTGTAAGCTCTTCTGGATTGTGAGTTGGCAAGCAATCACTGTAATATTGACGCTGTAGAAACAACAATACAATGAGGAACAAAAGAAGCTCCTGACTGTATCTGTAAAAGTTGTAAGGTCGCGCACTGCCTAGTCTGCATTACTTGAGAAGCAAGTGCGTTCGACCCTATAGGGGAAGTGAGTGCAGCAAGGATCTAGAAGTGTGCGCTTCAGCGAAGCGCGAGAAAGCGCAGGAGCGCGCAAGGTACAAAGGCGCGGGAACGCGCGCGCGTATTAGCGCGAAGCGCGGGAAAGTGCGCGCGCGTATGCGGAAATGAGAAACTAAGCTTAAGTAGTGATATAAAGCAAGATAAGAGATATAAGAGTGCAAAATGTAAAGGAATAGCTTTCTACTATATTCTGCTAAGTAGTAAGTGGGTAGTAACTAGTAAGTGAAAAGTAGGAAAAGTAGGTTCCGTGTAGTATGTACTGCTGGCACTTATATAGCGCGCCTAAGCGCGCTCATGCGGAGCCGAAGCGCTACCGAGTAGGTATGTAAAAATATATATGAGTGAGAAACTATGATAAAAATAAAGGTGGAACTATGCTAATAAAGGAAATGGAAATATACATACTAGGGAGCTTGGTGGACAGTGGATGGATGCATCTGGATGGCTGGCGCTATAGGGCGCGCAAGCGCGGGAACGCGCGCGCGCGTATACATCGTGAAGCGTGGGAATGGTGCGCGCATGGCGCGCGTTGCGTGGGAAAGCTGCGCCTCATATAGAGATAGCTGCGGGTAGCGCACAGAGTAATGCTATGAGTTCGTGCTGTATACTCCTTGGTGAAAACTACCATATCACGCCATGAGAGGCATGATTCTCTACAACGCGAAAGTCCAAAAACATTGGGAAGTGTACAAAAGAAACGAAGGGTGCATGACAATAGTGCACTTGTCTCTGAAGTGGGCGGGAGGTCTGGGGCTAGTGGCAGGGCCAGCTCGGTCATAGGTGGGGGTTGAGGAAGGATATCTCGAAATCGTGCAGGAAGACGACGATTGATGTGTCATGGACGACGTTTGGCGAGCGACTGTGGATCATCGACCACATGCAAAGACTCTAAAGGACTGCACCATTCCTAACAGACTGTTAGGGTATCAATAATAATCATTAATATCTGATACTCACTTCGCGTTCAGTTTCGATACCTGATCATGATGCCAAATTGTATTCTTCTCCGCTGACAATAGCCTGATCAGAAGCGAATTCTAAGCTGGCAAATCCATGATCCAGTTGTGGGTGTGCCCCGCTTTCCCCTCCTCGCGAAGTCCAAGTCTCTGCACTATGGGCAATGGTCGAAGGACTTGGAGTAGACCCAGCTAGCTTGTCACATTTGTCTTCTTCTCTACATGGTCTTTTTCTTGTAGTCCATACCTCTTTGGCCTTTGATAGCACATTCGAAAGGTGCTTCTTTCGCTTTTTACATGTCCTTTGATGGTTCACGTATGCGTTGAGTTGCGCGAAGCTTCGTCTGCAAGTGCACTGGCAAACAGTCAAGTATCTAGCCACGTTCATAGAGGAGGACTCGGAAGCTGGCAATAATCCATACATTTTCAGGCGAGGGGGTGTGGGTTACGAACATGCGTTAACTGACGAGTAGTATCACCGCTGTGGCCTGGGCCTGGAAGTGTGTTCTAACAGGTTCAAGTTTGTCAACGATTTAAGATCAAGGGTCAAATTCCTGGATGATTCTAGACTCACAGGTCAAAGCCATCCACTGCAACTGCCGATTACAGTAGTAGTTAGCTTCAAACCTAAAAGTTTAAACTAAATAGCGCTTATTGCTGAGTTTCATTGCGCGTCAGCTTGTATGCCAATACAGCCGAGCATGATGTTACATACATTTAAGTTTGTAGGGAAGCGAGCCCACCGGGAAGCAAACCCACCTGGAAGCAAACCCACCGACCTGAAGACTTTGAACTGTCAACGTAAATGGAGGACTAGTACTACGTAGATATTTCCATTATGAAATAGACACAAACTAAACGGCACACATGTGTAATGAAAGCAGTACCACCCCAGTTGCTGAAGGCGTAGAATTACATAAAAAAAACGGACCTAACAAGCTAGTACTCACATAACTGAAATTGGTATAAAAGGCCAGGACGGTATATCCAGTTGCACAAGGCGAATCTGCTGGCATAGTATGGCTCCTGATCGCTTACAAACCCAGGCCAACGTCGCAACTGACAGACTTCGACGAGAGTGTCAGCGAGCAAAGTTTGCAGCCAGAGTCAGTGGCAGGAAGAATGCGGTACTCGAATTAGATGAGACCAGCGAAACGCTATGCGTCTGGTATTGGTACGTTAGCCAACTTAAGTACAAGATTGCCTCGAAGATCTTACTCTTGTTTTGACACAGGCCAATTAACGATGATGGGGAGCATGTGGTTCCTTCCAAGCTCGCATTGCATTGCAGTCTCATCAATTCCGAGGACCACGATGCCTATGTGTGTTCATAGACAACAACAACAACAACAACAACAACAACAACAACAACAACAACAACAACAACAACAACAACAACAACAATGTCAGTTACCATCATGAGGCAGCAATAATCGTGTTGAGACGGGGACTGCATGTAGGGGAGTATGTGGCCCATTGCGCATCGAGCAAATGCGGTTATATCGGTAAGCTGCCCCGCAACTTTGAGTTGTTGGTCGATGCCAATGAATCACTGGTGTAGTTTTCATCGAACAAATACATAATTCATCCGGGTTACCCATCAAGAATTACCCAAGACGCAGTAAGATACATTCTGTTATGGTGATGACCGTTAGTCACATCATGGTATACTGATGGGCCTGATGACAGACTCTGATGAGGCCAGGCCACAGGAAATCATATTTCTTGATGGAAATGGTGTGTACTCAAACAAGTTGCAACTGTGTATGGCAAAGTGATACCATAGGATTTACCCAATAGACATCAAACTAGAGGATGTCATCCAAAGGCGCCAGCTTCGATGAAATGAAACTCACCAAGTCTTCGAGAAGCTTATGAAACTGGACTCCTTCTCCCGGCCTGGCCTCACAAAAGCCGAATGTCATCATTTTCTCATGCGGTGCAACGGTTGTGACCTGATCATGACGAGGCGAATCTTCAAACATCATGACTGTGTAGGAAAGACAGAGGTCATCGATCTTACTACAGAAGACAATGATTAGTAGTATGTATCATTAACCGATCCTAAAGATCAGACTCGGAGGTGGTAGTAGTACTCAGTGCAGTTGTGCTTTTGGGCCCCAGCAAATTTCGTCTTTTCAATGTTACTAGTGAAACAAAACTAGCAGTACGAAGGGAAGCTGCATACAATATATATATATCACTTCAAGAAGGCAAAAGAAAGCTACCCGCACAACACGTGTAGAGTCATAAGTCGGTGGGAGCCATGATTGTACATATCTAACATATCATGATGTACTAAGCATGGAACAAGTATGATGGAACCGACAAGGCATGCTACAAATTTCAAGAGGTCTATTCTGCATCTGATTCATGTACACTTGAAACGTCACTACCCGCACCGTCGAGTGTGTTGCTTGTAAGGCCAGATACTCGCAACACACCGCGTGAAACACCAACGCTGATGTCAGCTTTCTGGAGTCTTCGCCCTGCATGTTGGTCCATATGATGGTATAGTTCATTTTCAATCATTACGCGTTTCAGGTGTTTCTGGATAAGTCGGCTCTCTGCCTGACGCTCCGACCGCTGAGCACTGATGAGGCGAATAGTGAGATCGCTATCGCGAGTGGTCTCCCAGAATGGAGGAAGACAGAAGATATCCATCTAGTTTGGTTATAATATTAGTCGCATTGCATGATATTTAATTGATGCCACCTACAGATGATGGCTCTTGCAACGCGGTCTCAGGGTATGCGTCCTGGGGTTGTTGTGGGACGTCGCCACGCCAGGCCGCACAGCGATCCAATAAATTAACATTAACTCTTGGGTCGCTGGGGTGAAGCTTGAGAGTATGTGAGTTGACCTGATGACAATCAGGGATGAGAGATGCAAGAACAGGTTTCACAGTGGAGGACATGGTTCAATGGAAATTTTCTATTGATTTTGGTTGAGTTGCTCTATTATCAATGCAAGGACTACTGGATCAAACGGACTGTTCCGAAACTTGCACATACCAATAGCGCTTGTCGATGGCAGATACTTACACCGTGGGGCCTTCAAGTTTGCATCAAATGTACTAGAGGCTGTAGTCTTTCGTCAAACCGCTGGCCGTATTCTCAAATTCAGTATTCGGTGACTGTGATTCACTCTCCAACCCGCAAATGAGGGTTTTCATTTGCATCGACATTGATTCAACGTGAGTATTTCGCATCAGTACATACCGTCATAATCATCTGACTATGATTTGTCAGGTGCTCTCCGGCCTGCAAAGAACTTTCATTTGCACTGACGATGAATCAATGTGGCCGTGAGTCATTTTCATTTGCACTGATGTTGACTCTGAATCAACGTCAATGATGTATCACTGACTTTGTCCGCTGATCTTTGGATACAGTCATTTTCTCACGCCAAGTATTGGTCAGGTGAGTCCAACCTCTGCCGAGCGATTGGATATCAAGAATTGAATCTGCGAAGGTGCTTTATTCACCGACACAGAGCTGTCCAGAATGAAATAACTCCACGAAAATGGGGTTAGTATTCATGCATGAGTTTGCCTCAAGTTGATAAAGGTCGCACTAGACTTCGATGCAGTGGAGATCTTCGGATGGCTTTTGTGAAATTTTGGGTAATCTGACAACACAAATTGTAAGCTTTAGGTGGGGTCTTAAAAGACCATCAGTATAGTACTCACCATTGCACCGACTTATCACCTAAAAAATTATCGTTGGCCTTCCTCCATAATGTCCTTACAGTTCAGAGTGGGTCATATCTACAGTCCTCCCACAGTTGGAAAGGATGCAACTATCTTTGACTGGTTTAGTCGCTCGGTAGGTTCTCAACTTTCGACGTGTTCTAGGCTGACTCGGACATATGACTATTCTAGCAACACGTAGTTGAAACCCTCGAGGGGGCTTTCCTCAAGGTGGCTCACGTTGAAGGTACAACAATTCAGATGGTGAGTCTGAACAATATGTTGGGTCTTGCAGAACCTAGCTGCTATTCGACCCTAAAGGGTTTCTGGACTAGGCTTAAAGCTCAGAGGAGAGGAAATATCATAGAAAACTGCTGAGCACTCAGACTCATACTGGTAACTGGTGAAAAGATTGATTGATTATGTAAGCTACAAAAGTGCCAACATAAGGTAAGGTAAAAACAGTCTCTACAAGCCCAGCCAGAAATGAATCCCTACAACGTGTTACCTTCGCAAGTAAATCTGCCGACCGTGGACACAGAGGATGCATACGAATCTGTCTACATGGTAGGTTTTATTCTGAGTCTGTCAAAGTACCGCTGAATTCCTCTACAGGATACACGCCAGCAAGCAGATCTAACAGTAAGTGCTTTGATCAAGGGTTTAGAGGGGCTCGTTAATCACCGCTCATGTTTCACTAGCCATTCACCATCCCATACGGCTGGAAGCAACTCTGGGTATATACGGACAATGATCTCATAACAAGGCCTGTGATTCAAGTGCGTACACAATATATTGCACTGAGGATGAGTTGTTGACTCTTTGACAGAAGGACATTGAGCCAGGGCGCAATATCGTCCTCACTGATCATTGTGCCCCCCTCAGTGGCTCTCAATTCAGTGACGCTCCGAGCTGGTGTAGAAACAACAATACTGCTAGGAACAAATGATGCTCCTGACAGTATCTATAAATGTTGAAAGGTCGCGCGTTGCCTAGTCTGCGTTACTTGAGGAGACAAGTGCGTTCGACCCTAAAGGGGAAGTGAGTACAGCAAAGATCTAGAGGTATGCGTGGGAACGCGAAGCGCGAGAAAGCGCAGGTGCGCGCAAGGTACGAAGGCGTGGGAACGCGCGCGCGTATTAGCGCGAAGCGCGGGAAAGGCGCGAAATAAGAGAGACTAAACTTAAGTGATGATATGATACAATATAAGAGAAGAGTGATGCAAAGTGTAGACAAATAGACTTCTACTATGTTCTGCTAAGTAAAATGGTGGGTGGTAACTAGTAAGTTGGGTGAAAAGTAAGTGGAAAACTTGTGTGTCGGCGCTTATATAGCGCGCCTAAGCGCAGTCATGTGGAGCCGAAGCGCTACCGAGTAGGTATGTAAAGATATATATAAGTAAGGGTCCATTATAAAAATAGAGGTGGAATGATATGCTAATAAAAGAAATGGACATATACGCACTAGAGGGTTTGGTGGACAGTGGATGGATGCTTCTGGATGGCTGGCGCTATAGGGCGCTCAAGCGTGGGAATGGTGCGCGCATAGCGCGCATTGCGTGGGAAAGTTGCGCCTCATATAGGGATAGCTGCGGGTAGCGCACAGAGTGACGCTACAAGTTCGTGCTATGCACTCCTTGGTGGAAACTGCCATGTCACACCATGAGAGGCATGAGTCTCTACACCGGGTTGATACCGGGTTTGATGAAGTATTTTTGGATGACAATTTCTTGTCTGCCATAGGTTCGTTCAAGCCTGATGGCGAATGGACAGGCGCAGAGACATCGGCATTTGGGATTGGATTTCAGATGTCTGCTACAGGAGATTACATACTCCCTTCAACCTCTGCCGCAGCGAACATGGAGTTACATCCCCCAGTTCCTGTTACAGTAAGCACTGGGTCGAAATGTAATACAACGCCTCCCGAGCTGACAACTTTCCTTCCAATACCGATTACTGGTATCGCTTTGGCGAACGGCCCTTTGCCAAAGTCGCACTATGTAATTTGCGATCCGGCCCTCTTTGCACAAGGTATTGAGTACACTAATGAGACCCTTAAAATCACCTTTCCTGCGGCAGCTGCATGCATCCGTGATGCCGCCATTCTTGCTAGGCAGTGTTTGACTACTCACGGCATACAAGAAACTTCATTCCGTATAGCCTGCAAGGACTTCATCATCGAAATGATGACAGTCGCAAAGCATGCTGGCCAGCCGGTCGAGCAAGGTAGGCATAAACAAGAGTAGTATGTCTCAATTCGATTACCTTTTGACAGGTTTCAAGTGTCGGGATACCAACAAGGTCAAACCCTTGGATATGGTGTGTAAAAAATGGTTGATCTTGTATGTTTTGGCCCTATTGGAGTTTGCACTGGCATAGCTAATGCACACCTACAGGTATACTACGAGCGCTATAGATTTGTGAAGTTTTTAAAGGAGAATTGTTCAACTTTTGCTGAGGATCTACGGAAGAAGGCTCTGGGTGGCTTTTGTTTGGAAGACTACCACGCCGGGACAGTCGGACCGTATGTCACTCAGCTTACTGGTCTGACGCTTTGGAATGATGAGGTGACATCGATTAACTTTGCCTGCTCTTCGAATGGGGTATGAATTTTCATTAAAATCATATGATCGTGATATTAATTTGTATCTTACAGAAATATTATTGTCGGATACCAATCCTAGTAATTCTGGCACTTTGTATTTTGCAACCGCTCAGAGTGCAACACCGCTCGCTATTAGATCTTTTCCCCGCCCAGTATGAGAGACTTCCAGAGCATTTGATAGCCAGTGCATGCGGGATGGTACGTGACTCATCTGCAAGTTGAAAACCGACTCTTATACTGTCCACAGTACACCATTTTCTTCAAGCATCGACTTCCCGGATATCTGCCAAGTGCCCAAATTTCAACCGACAATTTCGAGAAGGAAGCAGACCACCAGCTACAGCTCCTAAGGTTCATCCGCCAGCACACGAACGAGGAGGCCCATAGGCTAAATACATGGATCAATACCCGGTGTAGAAACAACGATACTGAGAGGAACAATTGAATGCTCCTGACTGTATCTATAAAATGTTGTAGGTCATGCGTTGCCTAGTCTGCGTTACTTGAGGAGACAAGCACATTTGACCCTAAAGGGAAGTGAGTGCAGCAAAGATCTAGAGGTACGCGCTGAAGCGAGGCGCGAGAAAGCGCAGGTGCACGCAAGGTACGAATGCGCGGGAACGCGTGCGTGTATTAGCGCGAAGTGCGGGAAAGCGCGCGTGCATGTGTGGAAATGAGAAAGAGTAAGCTTAAGTGAGGATAAGATGTAAGACAAGTGAAGAGAGGTGCAAAGTGCAGACAAATAGATTTCTACTATGTATGTTCAGCTAGGTAAATAGTGGGTGGTACTCAAGTCAAAAGTAAAGTTAGGTGAAAAGTAAGTCCGTAATAGTATGTACTGCTGGCGCTTATATAGCGCTGTAGAAACAACAATACTGAGAGGAACAAAGAAATGCTCCTGACTGTATCTAAAAAGTTGTAGGTCGTGCGTTGCCTAGTCTGCGATACTTGAGATGGCAAGTGCATTCGACCCTAAAGGGGAAGCAGGTGCAGCGGAGATCTAGAGGTACGCGCTTCAGCGAAGCGCGAGAAAGCGCAGGTGCGCGCAAGGTACGAAGGCGCGGGAACGCGCGCGCGTATTAGCGCGAAGCGTGGGAAAGCGCGCGCGTGTAAGCGGAAATAAGAGAGACTAAACTTATGTGAAGATATAAGCAAGATAAAGGATGTGAGATGTGTTGTGCTAATGAATAGATTTCTACTGCGACTTTCTAAGTAGTAAGTACTAGGTAAAGTTGGGTGAAAAGTAAGGTAAATAATAGTATGTACTGCTGGCGCTTATATAGCGTGCCTAAGCGTGCTCATGCGGAGCCGAAGCGCTACCGAGTAGGTATGTAAAAATATATATGAGTGAGAAACTATGATAAAAATAAAGGTGGAACTATGCTAATAAAGGAAATGGAAATATACGCACTAGGGAGCTTGGTGGACAGTGGATGGATGCATCTGGATGGCTGGCGCTATAGGGCGCGCAAGCGCAGGAATGGTGCGTGCATGGCGCGCGTTGCGCGGGAAAGCTGCGCGTCATATAGGAATCACTGTGGATGGTACACAGAGTGATGCTGCGAGTTGGTGCTGTATACTCCCTAGTGTAAAGCGCCATATCACACTATGAGATGCACGAGTCTCTACAGCGCGCCTAAGCGCGGTCATGCGGAGCCGAAGCACTACCGAGTAGGTATGTAAGATATATATGGGTGAGAGTCCATGATAAAAATAAAGGTGGAACACTATGCTAATAAAGGAAATGGAAATATACGCACTAGGGAGCTTGGTGGACAGTGGATGGATGCATCTGGATGGCTGGTGCTATAGGGCACGCAAGCGCGGGAATGGTGCGCGCATTGCACAGGAAAGCTGCGCCTCATATAGGAATTGCTGTGGACAGTACACAGAGTGGTGCTGCGAGTTGGTGCTGTATACTCCCTTAGTGGAAACTGCCATATCATGCCATGAGAGGCATGATTCTCTACACCGGGATGGCCCAGGTGGGTGGTTGCAAGACCTGTAAGTAGACTTCATTCCATTGTTTTAAATACTCGGTCTCAAGTGCACAGCGTGCATGCACTACGCTTGGTCAATCAACAACGAGGCATCGGTGTATAGACTTTGACTCGATTATTCCATCCTTGCCAAATAGTCATTTTTGATGCTGCTTGTTGTTATACATGTACTAGTACTACAATTCAATTGGTCTCTGGCTGCTCGCTCACTGACGCTATGCACAGACCTTCGTTCCTCCTGACCCTCCCGCCTCCCAGTAGCTTGTGTGCCTGACTCGACTCTAAGGCCGCGGCCATGAAAACAAGGGAAACATCAACAAATAGCGCAATAAAAAATAAAGGTCCAGGATAATCTATCCTGAAACCAGTCAGGTCCTCTGAGCCTCACGAAAGTCACATGCGCAATGTGTCAGTGCTAGCTATAAACGAAATCTCCGACTGGATTGAGCCAAACGGCTGACATATAATAGTACTGCTGGAGCTTACACACTGTCGCTGAATTGCATAATGTTCGATGAATCCTCTCCACCCTCTTCGGTTACAGGCTGTACTTCCGTAATTGACAGTAGCTCGTTATTCTAATTTGATTCCTAAAACAGAATTTGCAGTCGCCCACAAACTGCAGCAAATATTGCGGGCAAAGGTATTTAGAGTTGCGGTCATAGCAGTTTTTTTTCTTACCCTACCTTGCACTTATTGCACCAGGTTGCCATGTCTGAGGACCAGCAGTCTTGTGGCCAACGTCGTAAACCAATTGATGCCCTACAACTGGGGCCCAGGAAAAGGCCGTGAGTAGCTATATTTTCGGGAAGCAATCCAGCTGCCGATGCTCATTACAATGATATTCAACAGCAGTGCGACGGATCTGTTGGTTCATTATGGTCATCATTTCGGGCAAACGGTCCACGCCCTTTGCAACTTCCAAGCCCTTCTAACAAACGGAATTCTACGGATGGGAGAATTAGCTGATGCTCCAGAGGAAAACTTTACAGCTGAGTATCTTACTTTCCTGCAGAGTTGTGTGCAGCCCATTTAATCGTTTGTATATTCTAAGGGAACGACATGAGCATCGTGTTTTCCAAGAACTTCTCAAATCTGTGGCAGGCCTGGAAGAGCGTTTGATGCAGGGCAGAGATGATGAGGTTGATGCTGTAGCGGAGCTGGCAAGTATCCTGTTTTCTACGTCTGCAAAGTTATCCGTTTATCTCACATATCATGTCAGCTCACCAAAGGCACATCTGGAGCAAGAGGTGATGATACAAAAAGTCTCAAAGGCAGTGTCCTCAATTGGATTACCCCAAAGGGACAAAATATCATTCCTCCTCTCGCTCGCAACATGAAAGTCGACCGCGGTTTTCACCATGAACGGACAGGTGCATTACTTTGTCCTGCTGGCCTCGACTGGTCTAACTCCGAGTGTGTGGCATCTATTTCCTTGGCATCTTTACTAATGGAATGCAGGACAAAAGCTAAACTAAAGAGTGGTGAGATCATTGTGACTGGAGACCAGTGGCCGCTGTTCTTGTACGCAGACTACCATTATGATCCCGAGGATCCATGGAATGGTCTGTTTCGAAGCGCCTTACTTGTTTGTGTAAGATATTTCGCGTTGCTCCCAAATTTCTTTGCTCTTAACTAGACTCTTAGGCATATAGACACACCTTCACATCCCCCAGTTCTGTGGACAGAGAACTGAAGGCAACTCGTTCAGGTAATGCTCAGATTCATGGAATGACCCGAGTTACACTGCCCTCCATCGCATATATTGCAATGCAGGTTTGTCCCCCCTTTGGATCTGTACATTTATACTCAATGATAAATATTCATTCCAGAACAGATTTTCCCTCACCTCATCTCCTGTGTTTTCGTGTACAGACACAGTCACCGACTCGGAAAGGTTCTACAATTCCATTTTAGATATTTTTGAAGACCCGGATGAGAAGCAAGAAGTGAATGACCTTACTGTATGGTGGAACAGGTAATTGATGACTCGTTTTATTCTACTGGTTCTCACATTTTCTAGGCAAATTTTCCCTTCATACTCGACCGCTCAGCATCCCCTGGTAAAGAATAGCGCGCTAGCGAGGATCCGAGAGAAGCGAGCACGAACGAAAGAAGTGTCAGTGCCTGATGGTGACGGTGGCAGTTTGTAGCATACCGTCGGCACAGTAATAGTTAATTGTACCTCGCTACTAGATAATGTGCTGTGGTCCCACTATGGTGCATGCAAGTTGCTTGTGATGCCGAGATTATACCCAGCCTCCAGACTGAAAGTGAATCATAGTAAATACCTCATCTTTGTATATTTTACCAATGGTAGCAATCAAGGTATTCACATTGTGATGATAGCATCTTTGTCAACAATATGTCATCAGTCTGCCACTACAGTTTTAGCATGTATCATTTTGAGATCCTTGCTCCAAATTCACCTGCAATTACTTTGCTGATCACATGTGTATTTGTGACTGATACTTGTAAGAATGATGTCAACTGGACACACCTATGTAATACTCATCTTTCTGATGAGAATCATATGATACATAAAAGCAACCATTCATTATATACATAGTCATATGAGTTGATGAAGTGTCACAATTGTGAAGCTTGCCTGTCATGCCATCCAGATGCTCCCCTATAATCCCTATCACCATGATGACATTTGTGAGTTCTGCCAGGGCAAGCGTCCATTATAATTGAAGAGAACACAGTCCATGAATGTGTCATAAATGTAACGCTAGATCTTACATCACCCATCTTTGTTACTTTGATCAGTGAAGGTATGAGGTCTCATTCTTGCATATTTGGCAGGTCCTGCCATGTCTATCCTCCAATATAAGGCTTGATAATTTGACATATCATTATTAGACTGATTGTAGAAATTTAACATATTATAATTCTTTATATACCAATATCATTTTATCATTGAACATCTGATGAAGGTTCGAGTTGAAACGAATTGGGTCATTTTCGAGCCGAGCCGAGTTTAGCTCGAGTTGACCTCACCTCGACAACAACACTACCCTGAATAATACTTCCGAATCCAAGACTCGCACTAGTAAGTACTGCGCATGTCATATTGCTCATGGTCCAATATATTGATGGCAGTACTAGTAATCGTTTGTGCGTTGGCACGGCAAAGCAACTTGAAAGCACCCTTTCTGGGATTAATCGGAAACCACCAAGGCTATGGCTCGCGACACCAAGCAGGACTCATACAAGTGTCGCCCAATAATCAGCTCGGATGACTCGCACTGGCAGCATCCAAGTCCAGAATTTGGATTGGTCTTCTATTTCCTCACCAAATAATTTCAACCTACTTTCGAAGCCCCGCATAGCCCACTGAGGCATAGTTACCCAGATCATTGATCAAAGCTTCGATCAAGATTGTGCCGCCATGGTAAGTAGTTAGTACTTTTACGCTCACCGAGACCTGTACTAGTAACACTGCCTTTCCGAGTGCGACGGCAAATATCAGCACTTTTACTCAGCATGCGCAATATTTTATCGTCATCAATTTATCATCCACCCAAACGTTCGTGCAGAGCCATACAGGAGCATGGCATAGGTATAAATAATCCATACGCTCATGGAACCCCATCATCAACTCGCATACCATCCTCATTCTCAGTAATCTCACAAAATGGTCAAGTTATACGGTTCTCCTACTTCCACATGCACGCGCCTCGTCGCTCTCATCTGCAAGGAAAAGAATATCCCATACGAGTTGATCCAGGTCAACTTGGCCAAAGGTGAACAAAAGGCTGCATCTTTCACGGCGATCCAGCCATTCGGACAGGTCCCATACATCGTGAGTCGAGTTGTGATCAGGTCTCATGATGTCGTTCGCTGATTTGCGCCCTCAAAGGATGACGACGGTTTTATTCTATACGAGTCTCGCGCGATCGCAAGATACCTCATCAAGAAATACCCCAACCAGGGCACCCCTTTGATTCCTAGCGACCCCAAGGCTCAGGCTCTGTTTGAACAAGCAGCCTCGGTCGAGGTGTTCAACTTCACCAACTTCGTTCAGCCAATTGTGTTCGAAAAAGTGTTCAAGCCGTGAGTGGTTCTCTTTTTTTGTTCCGACGTAGCTCAGACGATTTCTCAAGGCGTTTTGGTCTCCAAACAAATGAGGAACGTGTTGGCGAGCTGTTGAAGACACTCCAGGAGAAGTTGGATGTGTATGAGGTGATCCTCAGCAAACAAAAGTACCTTGCTGGTGATGTGCGTCTGATTTATTCCTCGACGTCTTCTCTGGCTATGATCTGACAGTATCGGTTGGCTATTTAGTTTCTCACGCTCGCTGATTTGACCCATCTGCCGTATGGCACTGCGTTTTACACAAATGGCTTCGCTGAGGTGTTTGACAGCAGGCCTAACCTTGCTAGGTGAGAGCTATGATGCCAGCTGTCGTGGATATGATTTAATCGTTTGATGCGCAGGTGGTGGAAGGACGTCTCTAACAGGCCTGCTTGGCTCGCCGTCAAGGATGGTGCGTAAGGTCTTATCCAAGAGGTCAGGAAACGTTCGAAAAGGCCGTCTCGTTGTATACAATACCAATAGAAGTTCAATTTGATATTTGCTGCTTGATTCATCGCAAGGAGAACGAGAGCCCCGCCACTCATGACTCATGAAACGGTGAGGATAGTGGAGGATGCATTTACAATTGGAAATTTGCGCACACCGTCAGATGAAAATGTACATCTACGCAAGTCATGTAGTGCAAGGCGATTTTGGGATGGTCGCCCGTGACTCGTCTCTACAGTACATACTCAATGGTGATCCTGAACGGTTCAGACTTCAGGGTGAGCGGCCGGTCAGTGTCTTTACGTGGGGGAACGTATGTACCGAGGCACAAGTGAATAAGGTCTAGACATCTCGAGCCTGAAATCTGATGTCTGCGACATGACAGAAAAAATGTTGGCGCGGGAAGCCACATTGGATGCCACCTACAAGTTGGCCCATGATGAGGACAATATCAGTCGTACTTGTACTCTCATGCAGGACATGAGTAGCACGGTGAACCACATTGGAGGGGATGTTACGGTCATAAAGCTAGAATTTGAAGCATTGAAAGTTATGTTAATGGAAATTCGGGATACTGTAGCTAAACTGGTACCAGTCAGACGTAGGAACACAGCTTTTGTCTGAATCTCATTGCTGTCCTTGCAAGTATTGTGCACTTACAAGAAAGTAAAATAGCTGGGAATCCGAGGGGACACTCTGGAGCCATCGTACGGTTTCTTTACGTGAACTATATCAGCCACCACCACGTCAATGTCAACCACAGTGCTGCCACTTGACCTGGACAACCACATGCAGGAAGAGGCTGCTGCACAGACAGATGCTGCATGTCGAAGCGCCGATTCAGAATTAGCCCCTGCTACAGATTCATTGACAAATATTACTGAATTGCAAGGTCAAGAGAATTAAAATGACAATGTATCCTTTACTCGAATGGGACTCGCAACGGCTTCATCTCAAAGTTTGTTCTCCATGTTCTTCTCGCATGCCTTTCGGTGAGTGCTCCAGCCGTGTGGTCGGATCTCTTGACCACATATATCACAAAGTTTCATCTGCTCCAGGGCCATTTTGTAGACAGTGTTAATATAGAGGATATGAACAAGGAATATAGAGATATTGTGGGTATGGTATAGACAAAGTCAATGAAGCGCTGCCTCTTGTAGCCGAGCATCAGCGTAAAGGCGATTGCAAGCCATTGAAACTCCGCGAGAAATCTTATCGTATCATTTCAATCGGCATATCAACGGCATGTCAATAGCAGCCCATTGCAACCGATCTCGCAAATTTCTGACATTGGAGAGGGTGGGAAACACAAGAAAGGGGCAGGTAGAAAGATGAGCCTGACGGACATGATCATAAGATATTGGACTTGAGGTGACGCATGAATACAGTACGGTAATGTTCCAATTCCAATGGCAGCTGCAGGCCGAGGTTGTTTTGTCATCAAGCGGTGTTTAAATCAAGACTTTGCTGAATCATTGGGGTCCAGACACTTGGCTACACTTCCGACGTAACTCACACTGGTAAGTACTGCGCATGCCACATTGCTCACCAATACATTGATGACAGTACCACTAGTAATCGTCTGTCGTTGGCACGGCAAAGCAAACCACCCTTTCTTGGATTAAGCAGAAACCACCAAGGCTATGGCTCGCGACACTAAGCAAGACTCATTACAAGTGTCATCCAATAACCAGCTCGGAGGACTCGCACTGGGAACATCCAAGTTTAGAATTTGGATTACTCTTCTATTTCCTCACCAGGGAATTTTAACCTACCTTCTGGAAGGTCGCCACGATAGACGACAACATTAACGGTGTTTCGGACAGTAAACGGTAAGGTATCTGGGCGCACGTATGTAGCTATACAGGCATCTGCGGTGTCCAATCATCAAATTTCAAAGGCGTACAATGTGTGTCATAGCGTTGCGTCATAGGTAAGCCAGCGTGCTTACACTTTCGAAGCCTCGCATGGCCCACTGACCCATAGTCACCCAGATCAAGATTGTGCCGCTATGGTAAGTAGCTAGTACTTTTACGCTCTCTGAGACCTGTACTGGTAACACTGCCTTTCCGAGTGCGGCAAACATCAGTACTTTACTCAGCATACCCAATATTTTTGGTGTCATCAATTCATAATCCAGCCAAATATTCATGCAGAACTACACAGGAGCCACAGGTATAAATAACTCATACGCGCATGGAACCCCCTCATCAACTCGCATATCATCCTCATTCCCAGTAATCTTACAAGATGGTCAAGTTATATGGCGCTCCTACTGTTTCCACATGCACGCGCCTCGTCGCCCTCATCTTGAAGGAAAAGAATATGCCATATGAGTTGATCCAAGTTAACATGGCCAAAAGCGAACACAAGGCCGCGTCTTTCACAGCGATCCAGCCATTCGGAGAGGTCCCATACATCGTGAGTCGAACTGTGACTAGATGTCATGATATCGTTCGCTGACTTGCGCCCTCAAAGGATGACGACGGTTTTATTCTATACGAGTCTCGCGCGATCGCAAGATACCTCATCAAGAAATACCCCAACCAGGGCACCCCTTTGATTCCCAGCGACCCCAAGGCTCAGGCCCTGTTTGAACAAGCAGCTTCGGTCGAGGTGTTCAACTTCACCAACTTCGTTCAGCCAATTGTGTTCGAAAAAGTGTTCAAGCCGTGAGTTGTTCTCTTTTTGACTTCAACGTAGCTCAGACGATTGCTGAAGGCGCTTCGGTCTGCAACCAAATGAGGAACGTGTTGGCGAGCTGTTGAAGACACTCCAGGAGAAGTTGGATGTGTATGAGGTGATCCTCAGCAAACAAAAGTACCTTGCTGGTGATGTGCGTCTGATTTATTTGGTGACATTTTCTCTGGCTACGAACTGACGGTTATTTAGTTTCTCACGCTCGCTGATTTGTTCCATCTGCCGTATGGCACTGTGTTTTACACAAATGGCTTTGCTGAGGTGTTTGACAGCAGGCCTAACCTTGCTAGGTGAGAGCTATGATGTCAGCTGTCGTGAATATAATTTAATCGTTTGATGTGCAGGTGGTGGAAGGACATTTCTAACAGGCCTGCTTGGCTGGCCGTCAAGGATGGCGCGTAAGGTCTTGTGCAAGAGGTTCGGAAAGCAATGCAGTCTTGTTGTATGCAATACCAATGGAAATTTAGTTTGATATTTGCTGTTTGATTCATTGCAAGGAGAACGAGAACCCCGCCACTCATGACTCATGAAATGGTGAGGATCGTGGAGGATGCATTTACAATTGGAAATTTGCGCACAACGGCAGATAAACATCTATATCTACGCAAGTCATATAGTGCAACGCGATTTTGGGATGGTCGCCCGTGACTCGTCTCTACAGTACATACTCAATGATGACCCTGAACGGTTCAGACTTCAGGGTGAGCGACCGGTCAGTGTCTTTACGTGGGGGGAGCGTACCGAGGCACAAGTGTCAGGAACATTGAGTAAGGTCTAGACATCTCGAGCGAACCAGACCTATAACGGTCTGCTTTTGTACTACTCTTATCGTTTACTATATCCCGCCCTTCGCAGCTCACCTTATCTTGTCATATATTCACTCATTTGGGGCAGAAAGGTCGGTTGAGCCCGCTTTGATGTTTTATTAAACAACGAACACAGCAGCTGGTGAGCCTGATTGCGGCGCTGCGCAGCCACGGTCATCATGACACCCATGTCTGTAAGTATCAGGATCTTGATATGCGAGCGAACAAGTTTTGACAGTTCTCACTGATATATGTAAGTGGAATGCTGTTTGAACTCCGTCGCATGCGGTCAAGATTGAAAGCGTGGTTATGCAGGTGATGGATCATGATGACTTACGAGATGAGCACCTCTGAGAATCCTTGGCTGTGGTATTGGGTAGAGTTAGCATCGACTGCTTCCATCTAAATGAACTTCCTGGGCCGAGTACATGCTCTTCGATTGGCCTGGCCTGGTTACCAGATGGGAGTGAACATATTTTTAATATTGGGTGCCAGGATCGACATCGCGGTGCGTCATGCCGCCGGCGGATGCGATAGCGGGTGACGCCGACCGTATGACCTTGCCCACGGTTCATTAGGAACGCTTAAAAGACCGGGAAGGCCCAGATATGAACGCGGTAGTGCTTAATTTTGGGCGGCCGTTGTCCGACTACGGTACAAAGTACGTTCGATTCGTTGTCTGCGCCTTGGGATCACATCGCGATGGACGACGCATCAGATTTCATCCTCGAGAATCAGAGGCTTGGAATTACGCACGCGGTGTCTCTTCTCCAATTGAGTTCGTGGCTAATCTGAGACTGACTGTCTGTTAATCCGAGAAAGTGTTACCATTGGTCGCCGTGTTAAACGTATTTAGTACTATTTAGAAAATCTTTTGAATCAAGGGTTCACCACGCCGCCCTTATATTTTCCCAGATTGACAACTTGACTGAAAGTACTTATGTCCGTTTGCTCCGTTTGCCTTTTCATCCTCTCCCTTGACTGTCACGCTTCATGAAACTTTGCATGAGCTTGCCTAGGACAGTGATAACCAGGTGCGTCCCTCCTCGTCTCCAATACTGACAACCTGATCTACCACCTTGAACTGATCATCTGACTACCAGAACGTCCTAATCATTGTAACACAATTCAGTCCCTTAAGACCTTCATCGCTCGTTTTTAATTGTTTACAATATGCCACCTCGACGTGGCACTCCTGCTCTCAACTCTCTCAGCCCCCAGGATGCCGCAGTGCATCCTTCTTCTACCCCGACCTCTCCTGCTCACTTTCAATTCCCTCAAGCACGTTCCAATTCTCCATCCGGATTTGCCCACCTGCTCTCCAAGCCTTCAAGATGGTTCCGAAAGCCATCTGATCCACGCTTGGCGTCAAGTGCAGGTGAACCTCGATGTAGCACCAGTTCAGTGGCCATACGCAAGCCAAAGATATCTCGCCCCACAGACCCACGACCTATTTTTCAAGGTTTTCAACCGGAATCCCATGTTGCCGACGCGAGCAAGTGAGTTTGGTTTTGTAACTCGCATTTGATGACCCTTTCCTCTATTATACCGTGTTCTCGGATAAGGTCGCCGCTCGTGCCTTGAATCTTACGCATACACTGAATTCATCCGCGTTTGTGTGTTCTACACGCATTTTTTGTATTAAAGTTGGCTGTGCATCGTAATACACGTACTGATAACTCAATGTGCTTCTTAGGTCGGTTCTAGATCTTTCGTCTAAGAAGTCCTTCGATTTACAACGTCCCTTTCCCACTTCACAACCATCCTCTCCTGATACCAACGGAAGTCTTGGCGATCTTCGCAGCATATCCCGTAAAACTTGGTCAAAATCCGCAGATGATCTTGGAAGCTTCTCGACGTCCTCCTTTTCCTCTGCAGACATCTCTTTTCAACATAGAGTGGAAGAATACAGGAACAGAAGTAATAGCAGTGCAACCTTGCATCCCACTTCTGCGAGCTCTGGTCCTGGAAGTCCCGTGAAGCACATATTCCCGACTATTGCTACCAATAGCCCTCTTTCGTCTTCGCCTCCTGAGTGTGGGTTCGCCTCTCCTGACCCTGGCATTTCTATCTCCGTCTCCTCACCCACTTCAGACACGTTCTGTTCCCCTCCATCGGAGGACCCACCCCCTGTCCATTCTCGCAACACGTCATTTGCGCCTCGATTACCTTCCAAGCTATCCGCATCTAAGCTAGGCTTTGCGCCAACAAGCCCCAAAAGGAAGGGATCAGGATCCGAGCGAGACGCCGAATCAACAAAGGAAAAAGATAATGACCGGAATGGCCCCAGTGGCACGCGTGGTGTCTTTTCCTTCAGTCTTGCGAGTCCTTCTTCCAGTAAACATCCGTTGCCCAACCCAACCCCTCTCAGTGGCCAAAACACAACGTCATCGTCTTCACCATTACTTGCACCTACTATGCTCAAACCTGATGCACATGACAGTCGCGATTCGCGTCGTACGTCTCAGATCGTCTATAACGCTGGTTTTATCAACCGCATGGGAGATACCGCGCCATCTATCTATGCGCAGTATCGACCATACAGTACTGCTATGAATCTGACGCTGTCGAAAGGATGGAAGGCGGCCAAGGCAGAGCTTAAAGGGTCGAAGTTATACTTTTACAAAGTGCCCAGCGACCGTAGCGCTGCCATCAAGGAACTCTTCCCTACTGAGATCGTCCCTGCGCTCGAAGCGGGCGAAGTGGATGGCGAAGCCGCCGATACCTTGGATGATCTAAGGGCTAGTAGGGGTAGAGATGATGGCGCAGGTGGCAGGAAGAAACGCGCATATTGGGGTCGAAGGACCCATCCTGAGCTAGTTTGTGGTGACAGTGGTATTGAGAAAGGGACCTTCGAGGCTCTCCTACATGAAGCCGTATTCGCCACAACTTTCCTCCAGCCTTCCGTGGAGGGCGAGGAGCGAGGAGTTTCTACAGGCGAGCCTCGCAGACCGGAGTGGAAAGATCTCTGTTCTGCTGTGTTGCTCTGCTTGCCTATCCTCGCAGGGCGAGAGTCATTCGAGAATGAGTTTACTCGTCTATGCGAAAACCTCGTGAGTGGTGCCGAAGAGAAAACAAAGGATTTTGAGCGCTCATGCGTCTCATGGATGGCTGGCGAGTACCTCCGCTACCATGGCACGCCTGCTGACGAGCCTGGTTGGAATACTTGGCGAAAGGAAACGATACCCGCTTTTTCATGGAATGAAGGTTCTGCCTCCGGAATGCCCAAATCCACTTCTACGCAAGCTGTTTTCGCACCTTCTCCAAACCCTGGCATCTATTCTCCCTCGATGTCTGGATCTACATTCTCTCCAAACCTAGGCACATTCTCCCCCCGGCCAGGCGACGATCCCAAGATGGCATCTCTAATGGAAGCATTGGGGACAGGATTGCAATCCCCTGCATCACCCATGAAGCCTCTCCCCCAACGGCAGCAGCGCCCCCAGCATCCATTTACTGATCCTAAGCAGCGCGTATGGACATTACTAGCGCAAGACGGCTTCACCCGTGAGGTGCTCTCACTCCTTGACCCCACCGCCGTCGCCCATAGTTTGAGAGTCTTCCATCAACGTATTCTTCAGCAACTTCCTGACAACCTCACAGCCGACCATATCTTGAAGGCAGACAGTGATCCCAGTGCTTCTCCAGATTCAGGTGATGGTGCACCAGCCGGCTCGTCGCCGTCAGCAGCATTGTTTGGGAGCGACGACCGGCCGCACTGGCTCACACGACTACTTCTCATGCAGATCTTAGGTGCTGATTCATCGTGCAGCTCTGAAGTGGAACGCAGTGCGTCGTCACGCACGCATTCGCGCTCTGAAGTGATATCCATGTGGGCGAGGATTGGAGAGCTTTGTCGAGTTGCGGGTGATGAGTGTTCGTGGATGGCTATCTCTACTGCGCTGTGCTCGCGTCCTGTCGCACGGCTTAGCAAAGCGTGGAGGCGAGCGGATCGTCAGAGTATCATGTCTGTGGAGTCGTGGATCTACCCTGGGGGTGATGGGCAGGTCACGCTTATCAATGGGCCTGTTTTGACGCCTTGGGGTGGGGAGGTTAGGGATCGAGCGAAGCATCTCCTCGAGCAAGCTAGAGAAGAGAGGACGGATGAAGTGTGGGCGGCAAAGCCTCTTTTACAGACAAGGGACTTGTTCGAGGGCTTTCGGACGAAGATTTCGTTATGCCCTAGGAAAACCTCGACGGACGATCTTCCTCAGGATGTTGAGAAGCTCCTCGGCTTTTGGCAAGATTTCGTGGAGGAGAAAGGTAACCAGTCCTCGATATTAGCGGCCAAGTTCCAACGGTATGTTGAACAGCCAATACCCTGAGGCAGAACCAGGTTGATTTGTGAATAGGGCGGATCAATTCATGTCACTTTCGTTAGCTGCAGAACCGAGGCGCAAAGGATTGTTTGAGCCGTTTTTCTGGTCGCATTCCATGTCTACGCCCCATACGCTTTGTCATCCCCTTACGCCCCTGCTATTCGTAGATCCGCTGCCAACTGTCGCACTCCTTGATCGAGGACAGATTTGGCGTGGCCGGCTAGAGAGTGGACCGACGAAGCTCAGTGTTGACGAGCTTCAGCGTCTCCGCGGACTT